GTTTGAGTGACAGAAAGGTTAATTAATTAGTTAATCAATAAATATGATAAGTTATTTAATTCTTGTAGACAGCCTGTTGAATGTTTAAACTCAGAATATATGTATTTATTTGGTTATTAATGTTTAATATGGCAATGAGAATGATGGAAACAGTGATTGTTGTCACTGTAAGAGCTGCAACTTACTATTATTTTCATTATTAACATTTAAAGTTTGCATTTTAATTAAATTCTTTACAAACTGATTAATTGTTTGGTCCTCAAAATGTCAGAACATAATGAAACATGTCCCTCTATTCATATATTCAATGAATAGTAAAAGCTTTGTCATATGTTAACCCGGTTGAATATTGTCTTCAGCATAAATGAATCTGCCATTTTGCACCGTTTTGTTTTAAAATATCGCTCCTCATTTAAAAGAAATGTTACATCAGGGAAGATGGAGCTTTAGCTTGAGGTAAAAAAAACATATTGTGAATAAAATCAGCAGCTGCCATGACCTTTTGTTAAATGGGAAAATGCTGTTCTTCTCAGCTTTATAGGTTTCCTTGATGCATTTAATTACTGTGAAAAAGCCCTCAACTTTCTCCAAAGTTATATGGAATGTACTCGGGAAAGGGCAGACTAAACTTTAGCAACACGATGCATGTTGTTATATGGCAATACAAACTATTATTAAGCCAAATTACCCAAGAAATAGAGACATACTCATTTAGTTCTAAATTTCCTGACTGTAAAACTAATATATCTATTCATATATATAATTAAATAACTATTATTCAACTTGCTACAGGTGTTATAATTCTTTCCTGAAGGGATGGTGGTAGGCCAGTTCCTTTTGGTGTATTCCTGTGGACACAGAAAATAAAAAAAAAAGGAATCCCCAGTAAAGGAATCACAGCCAGACTCTCCTCCAGACTTTTTATGACCTTGTATTTCTTCATCACTCCGACTGCAGACAGGCCACTGGCTTTGTGAGGGAGCTGTCACGACTTTTAGTACCTTGAGTCATTTGCCCGGTCGATGTTTAAAGGGATCAATAAAACACCCTGGTCCTGGGATGTGGCCAGAGGTTGTTTTATTCAGGGGGATGCTGCAGTGTCCTTGTAAAAGAATAAACATATTCGTGTAGATAAATGCAAATATTTTACCATTATTTGCAATATTAAATATTCAGTTGTACATAAAGTTATGTGTTGATATACAGTGTGTGTGTAATTATAGACCTTTGAAATAATTAAATGTTCCTCAACTGGTTTTTGGTGATTTTATTACTCAAAACTTCCCTTAAAAAGACTAAAACCAACCCTTTAATTGTCTGTGATACAGTTTGTTCCATTGTCCAATAAAAGCATTAAAAGCACACGTTGCAGATGTTCCTTCATTACACGGGCACTGTAGTTAATTTTGAGTCGACCCAACATTTGCCGTTCTGCTGCCAACAGAGCATCAAATATGAATTCAGTCATGGCTTAAAATAGTCCCCATTAAATGTGCTGTTTCCTCTGGTTTGTTAGCTTAAAAGTGCAAGTTTCCATTTGCAGAAAACTACTGAGCTTAGCAGCTATATTACTGTTGTATTAGCCAAATCATTTTCCAGGACCTTTCCAGGAAATTTCTCAGGAGTTTTTCTTGACAATACAGGACAGCACCTGCTTATAAAACGGTCAAATATTGACTACATTAATTTGGCCACAGCCCATAAGTCACAAATCGAAGAAGAATTTATTTTATTTTACAGAAAATAAATCTCCTAGAAAGTTAAAGTTTTCATTGCACGTATACTTAACAACACAGTGCACCATTTCCAGGAGAACATAGATTAATTCCAGGATATTTGGTCATTTTAATCAATTTCCAGGTGGTTTCATTTCCAGATTTTCCAGGTTGCGTGAGCACAAAGTATAGCAGTAAACACAAAGGCAAAGATGGGAATGGCATTCATTTTGAAGACATAAACCAAAGTATTGGTATAGGAACTTTTGGTATCAGAGATATTAGACTGGAAAAGTGAACATTTTTAGAGCTACGTCACTAAAAATGTAAAAAAAATAAATAAAAAACCCCACACGGTTTAAACTCTGGTCGTTTATTAGCTGTCCACAAAAGCATGTCATGGAACCACAGAAACTGTAGCACGAGTGTAACATTCCTGTTTGTTGTTATACTCCACCACATCCCTGCTTCTCACACCATGTATAATTTATATTTCATATATATATTTTGTACAATATACATGTTCTCATCAAAGGAAAAAAATCATAGCAAAAAGTTCGTCTCCCCCCGCCGCCCCACCCCTTCCTGTGGATTTTGAAATCTAGTGAATATCCCATGCATGTTTCCACTGCGTCTAGGAGAAATGTTGTTTATTACCAGGAACAAATACGCAGGCAAATAAATGCTCAGACAAATTAAGAGGAAGAGTCTTGTTAGACAAAAAGCTGGTGTACAAAGCACATTCTCAACAACATTAAACAAGAAGAGCCATGCGATCTGACATTTACTCTACGGCTTTGACCCAGTTTCGAATCAAAAACGCCAGTACAGGGGCAAGCTAAAGTTAGTCTTCTGCTAAAGGTAACATTAAGACTAAAATAACAGAGATAAGCATTATTAAAGTCTGTTGGCTTATTCTCTTATTCTAAAGCTGTATTCAGCTGCTGTTGGATCACAATAAGACTTGAACTTAAGCTCACTGTTATACTAATGCTTTTGAGTGTGTGTGTGTGTGAGGCTACAGTAACACTGGCACGAAAAGTGCTTGACATCATTATGAACCTTTTTACCTCTATCGAGACAAAACGGTTTGCATCTTTAAGTTACATTTCACTTTTTAAATAGCGAGTTTCAATTCAAACGTGGGCACGTGTAATGATTCAATATAAAGGATGGTAATGGATTATTTCAACCAGAGTTAGTCTAAATAAATTTGGGTAAAATCAACAGACTGGCAGCCTATACGTTAGAAATATATTTTTTAAAATGAATGAAATACACTTAAAAGAAAATACACTATGGGATGTCACAAAAATATAAGCAGAAATAGTATATTCAGGCTTTTTCAGTCACTATGTTATGTGTCTTTCAATTTCACATTGTAGCTCTATATCCTGTAGCATATTATTCATTGTACTACTCAGAGTAATACGGTCTTATGGAAATATTGCTTAATTTTAAAACTTTAAAGTATCTTTTTATATAATCTTTTTCACTTTTGTAAAACAAAATAGCTGTGGAATGTAAAATAAAATATATAGTGCTATGTAGGTAGGTAAGAAAATAAAGTCGTAGGATAATATCTATATTTCATTTTCTGTAACTATTTACAGAACTTAAAACCAACTCTTATATGTCTATATGTTTCTCTTAAAATGTTTTCTTTTGGCCCAAAACAAATATTTAAGTAATTTTGAGTGTGCTACAATAGTTCATGTCATAACATTTGTCTCATATCTGAAGGTACAGTCGGAGTTTATGTAGAAACAACATCACAAAGTATGAGGACATTTTGCATTGTAATCTATTGGAAACAGAGGGAAGCATCTTTTTTTTTTGGTTTGTTGCTGGACAACATTGCACAACTTGTATATATTCAACTTGTGTTGCATTGTTACATTCATAAAATCTACTGTAGGTCCTATGATTTCCCTCTTAAATTGATTGTGTGAGTTAGAGCTCTTCATGGAAAAGTCAACTGGGTTTTATTCAAATATTATTCAACTGCATTTAGTTTGTTTGTTTTTTTACCATTTTTGAGCAAGCGTGCCTCATTTAAACGACGGGGCTGATACCCTGCGGCTGCTGCTGAATAACGGGTGTCTGGTTAAGCATTTGGTCCTTTTAGAATTGATCAGTATTATCTAATGCACACCTGGTGGGCAGGTGTGTAGGAAAATGCAATCATGTGGAACAAAAGGTTGAATTTCTGCAGGCCTTGAGTTAATTAGAGACACAGCATTCTGGTCTTCATAATGCATCAGCTAACAATATGAAACAGCACATCTTTATACTAAAGCTGCAGGCTATGATTGAAAAAGCAAATCACCTGAGACAATAAGCACAACAATAATTGATATAAACACCACAATGTGACAAACTTACTTGTCAAAATACGTAGAATACAAATGAAACTTGCCTCCAAAACCCCATTTTTGAACCTTTTTTTCAATAAAAATCCACTCATTTAATCTTTTATTTTAAAAATTTTAATTCCCTTCCATTTTCTATCCATTGGACATACCATACGGTCTTTGTTTCAGGTGTTTGAGATTTAGTCCTCCTTTTTTGACTTTAGTATAAAGAAGTGTTGTTTCACATTGTGAATTTGATAAATGTTTTTCCTCTTTCTGTAGGGTTAGGGTTAGGGTTCTTTAAACAATCTCCACAATGTGCCACAGAAACACACGACTCTCCCAGATAACATAATGATTGTATATGTTTATGTTTATGTTTATTTACGGCCACCAGATTAAATTATTTCAACTTTGTTTCTGACATACATACATCTAACTACTATACTACCCATGAGCCTCAGCCAATACTGCAATGACGAAGAGAGTTTTCCCATTTTCCCAGCTTCCATTCATTGAAAGTGGCAGACTCTAACAGAGTTTTATGCCCTGTGATTGGATGTTTATTGCCAGAGGGAACCTTGGGAGTCGTAGTTGATGTCTACCTTAAAGTTTTTAGGTACCTTCTAATTTTTATCAAACAAAACAGATATTTTCTAACATAGTTGTTAATCTTTTGTACTGTTGCTCCAACCAGAGGAGCTTAGTGCGTTTTCAAGCTGTAAAAGTGCTCCTACTGTAGTTTCCTTTCAAATTCAGCCCACATTTCTTTCTATGTCTACTCTTATGTTAATATATAAGGAGATAAACATTTGGTGGCACTAATTCTCCAATTAGGTGCCATTATAGCTTATATATGTAGAATAATATATATTTGGAGAATAAGAGGTGCAATGAGAAACCTCAAATGAATGAAAATGAAAGCATAAAACATGATGGAAATATGGCTTTTATGTTCGTTTCATGTATTAACTTGAGATCTGATGTATTCATCTGCCACCATTTTGTGTCTCTTCAGTTGCAGCCTCAGTGGACGTTTAAGTCACGTGTTTCCATTTTTCTTTTATTAATTGTTATGGGCCAACTTTTCCACCTCTTGCAACCATAAAAACTTATTTTTTGCAATATTCTGACTTGTTGTTTCAAATTGAAAATGTGCATAAAAACATACTTTGTGAGTCCTGTAACAATGTTGTGTCTCTATTAAACTCTTGAGGAACTGTGGGAATTCAACCTTTTCTGTCACATAATTGATGTTTTTGAGAAATTCTCTGCTGAGGTGAAGCCTAACACAAAAAGTGACTTTAAAATGCATCTCGTGATCTAAACCTGATCATTTGGAATGTATCAGAAACAACAAAACAACTGAAGGGAACATCCTCTGATTGCACTTTAACTGGAACGATCAACACCCTACTCAGCCCTACCGATCTACACAGAAAGCACACCTAAAGCGAAACGGAGGATTCAAACAAACAGATTAAACATGCAACTCTGCATAAACAGACACATACAGCAGGAACAAACAGGGAGCACATTCAATGAGACTGGTGTCATCAGCCAAGCGAGTGTAGGAGAATACTGTACATCAGTTTTTAAAAAAAAAAGAAGAAGAACGACCAGCACGATGACTTTAAGGACGTATTTACACTTTGCTTTTAAAGAGAAAGTCCCTGCCAATCAAAATCCATCTCCAAACCCAAGCTCGGTCAGTTTTGCAGTGGATAGAAAGTTAATAAGCAGCGTTTTCCCTTACTTCCCCTTTGCGAAAGTGGTCCATGAAGTAAGCTCTGCATAAAAAGCAATATCAGGGCAGCTCAGTTGAGTAGGTGTCATGCAAAAAAAGTCGACAGTGTTCGTGGAGTTAATTTCCCAGTTGGACATCCATGTTTCAAGCATACGTCAGCATAGATTTCACTGAGTGGGCAGTCTTTAGTTTAATCAGCGCTGCAGTGTCGGCCACGGTGGAAGTTCCTGTGATCAGTTTGGCCTCTGCACACAGTAGATATAACACAGTGAAACGTATCCAACATACAACTGACAGGAATTAAATGTAAATAAGTTTGAACGAGTCCAGCTAAAGTCCGTCTCCCGGCATTGCTACTAGTCACTTTTTATTGGTTGTATAGTAGGATTATATTTTGGCATTTGTCAAACTTTATACTGCAATGGCATCCACTTCCATAAAGTGATGTTTGTAAACCAAAGTCTCATATCAGAGATGATGAGAAAGCTGCTTTTATTGAGTTAAAATTCTACTCTACCTTTTTAAGCGAAAAAAGGTGTACAGAATGTATTTCATGCATGTTTCTTATATGAAATACAGTAAGTTTCATAATCACGATTAGGTCTAAGTGATACTGCTCAACTGGATCAAGTCAGTTCTGTTTTTGTTACAGTTTTTTTTTATAGTAGGGATGTGAAGTGATCTGTGGGAGTTATTAGGACAACAGAGTTCAAGCCTCCAACAAGGCGAGAAAGTTCTCTCTCTGATTTTGTCACGTATGCCAGCGTTAACTCTCAAAGGGGGCTGCAACAGGCAGAATTAAAGGGAATCCCTGACATAAAAAACATCCCACAGCCCCATCTGACAGCAGTGGGGGCCAGGGCAGGTGGACGGGGCTGTATAGCAGGGCGTTAAAAGTGGTGTTACATGGATGCTGTGCCTGGATCGGAAGGTTTTTTTTGGAGAGGACGACGTCACACCACGGAGCCCTTGGAGGTGGAGAGGTGGATGGAGCGGATGCGTATGGCCAGAGTTTTCTCCAGGTCGAGGAGGATGTCGGAGCAGATGCCGGGGCTGGAGGCGGGGCTCTCGGGGGCAGGAGGTTCGTACAGCAGCTGCTTGAAGCTGTCGAGTTCAATCAGCAGCACCATGTTCTTCAGGAAATAGCCCTCGATGAAAGCCGTAAGCTCTGAGGCACCAAGGAACTACATTGGAAGAAGAAGATGGAGATACAGCGGCAGAGAGATTTAACTATTCGGAAGAGTGATGATGACATCGGTATTGCACTAGATTGTTTTTAGGTTATTGCAGCATTTTTCAAATTATATTTAGAAGAAAAATTAGGCATTCCTAGTCCAACTGATTACAGTAAGTGCTGTGTTATTTTTAGTCATCTCCCACAATAGATGTACATTAGACCACAGAGACTTTGTCTTATAAAGTATTTTTTGTTAATGTTTGAAGATAATAAACTTCGTAGTCAACCAATGATCAACTGGCATCACTATAAATTATAATAAATCAAAAACAACCAACCTTATTTCTCCCCTTCTTGTTCCAACTTCCAAAAAATGTGATGGAAGTTAAAATATTCTATTCAACCTACAACCCATTCAAGGACCCCTGTTGGTCCCTGGACCCCAGTTTGATAAGCACTTACTTATCTAACAGTTGTTGAGATATTTCAGTCTGGACCAAAGTGTTGGATCAACCAAGACTTTGCCGCCTCTAGAACCAGGCTGCTAGTGTGGCTAAAAGTTTGCAAGGATTCAGGAACTATGTGAATAATTAAGTTAACTTGTCAGTACCAACTTTTTCAGCTGCTTTCTGTGTTTTTTTGTCAAGATTCCCCTGGAAAAAGGGCTTTATAGTTGAGCTGGTTCTGTGTTCACCAGCTACTCACTAACATTGTCTGTCTGCCGTGTGGTGATGTGTTGGTAGTGTACAGCGTGTTTCTATTGCTTTCTTGCTGAAAAATAGACTGCCTGCTGCGGATGAGGGTAAATGCGTTGTGAGTGAACCATACATTTACATTTTTGTCATCTTAACAGCAACATTTCATCCGTCTTTTATCAGCGTCCCACCTTGGCGTGTTTGTAGAGGTCCACGCAGGTTTCCGTGGTGATGTTCTTGGAGCAGATGATCTCACAGTGTCTCTGAAGGGCCTCTAGTTGGAAGAATTTGGCTGCAGAGAGGAGCTGCAGGGAACAGTACAGCCACACAGAATGAGGCACAGGACTTGGGATTAGAAATGCTAATACTTGCGTTGTCGCTCAGCAGGCTTTGGTTAAGTCTCACTTACCTCCATAACTTCAGTGTTGCGTATGTGCAAAGACTCAGTGCCTCCACAGTACAGATACTGCATGACCAGCTGAAACACGGAGCAGAACAGGGTTCAATCTATAGCTTCATTCCCATAGTGTATCCATATTGTAAGTTTACTATTCTTATTTCCATCTCAGGTGGTTTTGGGTTTTTTTTTGCCTGTTTTAGGGGCTTTTTGGGGGAGTTTTTCGGACTCATCAAACCATGTGCAGGAAATTTGGCTTGACCCTACATTCCAGAGAACATGTATATCTAAAATGAAAAAATACAAACCAGAACCCCTCTGTAGTATTGACAAATAAGAAGATAAATGTCTCATAGGAGCCCCATGTTTAAATACTGACTCAATTAATAAAATAGTAAGAGACAAGACTAATCATTAATTAGAAACGTCACCTTAGCTCTAGACATTTTACTGCCTAAACTATTAATTAAATATAATTAAAACATTCATTTATAATAAAAACACTTGTTAGAGCTTGATTGATAGACCTGCCCAGACCGATATATCAGGTAATAGTAGCTTATCACAGATAAATCATTATCTGCATATGTGTCAGCTGATAATTAAAGCATAGGGCTTGCAATATTACACATTTCTGTTATTGTCACTTATTGTAACAGCTCAAAAATCTGGCCAGGCTCTAATTGTTAGTTGCCGACATTTGATTTGCATTTTAAAACAGAAGCACAACATACTGACGGGGGGGGGTTAGGTTGTTATTGGAAAGCAAAAGTGATCTTACATGGAAAATATTGTACTTGACGTGGCTGATTTCAATACAGGTGTTCTCTGCTGCCGGTCGGTTCTGGAGCAGTGACTTGAACCTGCATAAAACAGAAGAGATCATTGGTATGTTAACTGAATAGGAAAGAATAAAAAATCAATAAACAGCAGAGTTCTCCTTTACCTGGGCGAAGCTGTAAACAGCAAAACTTTGTGTGCATAAAACGGTTTCCCCTCCACCAGGAAAGTAACATCAGACATGTCCTTGTTGTTCAGGAAGTGGGGGTCTGAAAGAAAGAAGAAGATGACAATAAGATCCAGTAAGCCTCACTACTCAAGTCTCCTAAACTACGGATGCAGAACAGCGAACAGCAGAAGATTAAACTAACGAGGTCATTAATTACTCAGAGGGCAATCCATCACTCAGCTATCAGTGCAGCATTATCAAAATACAACAATTCCCATTTCATTAGTATTCTAAAAAAGCAGCTGAATTTGATATCTGGTCCTTTGAGCTTTGCCTTAAATATATCCTCCAACATCCTGATAAATTAATTAGTTGTCAAAGGTTTTTAAAGCATTAATTATGTTCACACACAAAATAACAAACCATTTGTCATGTTATTCGGGTTAGACACTAGGTGGTGCTGCAGCACAGTGTTTCAGTGCCTCCTCCTGCTCTAATTATAAGAAACATCAAGAATAAAAATGGAAATGAGGAAATCTGTGACTTCCCCAACTTCAAAGAAGCTTTTAATTCTAGATCCGACTGATAAATCACATCATTACAGACATGTGAATGCAAAAATCTTCTGGCAAAACATCATTATGATAAAGTGATGTTTAAATAAAGTCAAGTCAAATTTGTGTTTTGAACTTTTAAGTATTTTATTCTGTTCTTTGGACCTTATTAAAACCACATATTATGTTGATAAGTATAGAAGTGGTTTGCTACAATCTGGACTCTGATGAAGGTGAAAATGACTATTATGTATTATTATTACCCCAAATAAGGAAATATTCGATGTTTTCTATGTTAATTAATGCAACCTGGACCCAGATAAGCGTCAGAAAATGAATGATTTATGAATTTCAGTTCAGTCTTCCATTATAAGATGATGAGCTTGCTAGCTGCTGTGTTTGCTGCAGGTCAGGTGGCTCTGACTAAAACTCCAGTAAAAAGGATTAAAAAGCCTCCTGCAGCACAATCCACTCTCACACAAATCTGACTTTTGGTTTATAAATGTGGAACATCTCCAGACAGCCTGCAAATGCATACAAAAACATTTTATAACATCACTCCCTACGACAGGCAAGGGATTTAAGACTTTTTACCTTTTTTTTTAGGAAACCGAATACTTTTTAAGAGTCGAAGAAATACAGGACTCCTTTTCTAACCCACTTACTCCCTCCCTTAGCAGCCTGATTTGATGATCATCTGGACAGCTTATCCCAAAAGCAGTTTTGTCATTAAAATGTACTTTGTATTATTTCTCAAATGTCAAAAAGAAATTGTTGCTTTGTGATCTGTTGATACATAATTAGTTTGAAGTAATAATCTGTGACATTCAGATCAGTATATATTTGCCTTTTTGTCATTCTGAGACACCAAATTATGTATTACAAAAGCAATAAAGATGACTATCAGCTCATAAAAGCTTTACTATTTGTTGGACAACAAGAAAGAAGAGAAAGTGTTGCATATAGAGACTTTATGAACTGAAAAGGTAGGGAAAAAAGGAGCTAATTTTCAAGTATTAAGCACCGCTTTGTGACCCCAGCGAAGTTAGAGACAAATCCCCACCCAAAAAAAACAAGAATCTCTTGGCTTTAACCCTGCTGTCACTCCCTGTGTCACCCAGCTTCATTTAATGCAGGAAGTACAAGAAAATGTTGAGGAGGAGTCACTATTTTTAACTCGCTCTCTTACCTAAGCGCGAGGTCTGTTTCTTCTTGATCTCTGTCAGCTTAGGGATGGGGAAGGGCCCGTAGCACTGGGTGAAAATGACTGACAGCTGCTGACTTATCACCTCATTCTGCAAACAGACACCAGCACAAGTGAGGACAGAAACTTTATACAGATTAGAGTTTTCTGGCCTCTGTTTCTATGCGCTATCCGGGACAAAATCTTATGCAAATGTATGATAATATGGTTTGGAGTGCAACTAAATATATGCAAATGCAAGTGTTAATGTCACCCTAGCACATGAGCACAGGACAGTTTGTATTCCCCAGCAAACCAGCCTTACTTTGTCTGATGTTTCCCTAACAAGCATTTTGTTTACATGCACATGAAAGAAAGCCCCGGTGACCTTGCTGGCTCGGAGGATCTGGAACATGAGCGGCAGGCCGTGCGTGATGAGCTCCTCTGTGTACTCGTCCTCCTGGATGCAGCAAAAGTCTTTGAGCAGGCCCTGGATCAGCGGCCGGCGGTGCTGGATGAAGCAGGTACGCAGGGACTCGAGCCAGGTGTGCAGCGTCCAGGGAACGCCTGGGAGTAACACCACACGAAGAGTGAATACACACAGCAAAGCGGTTTCAAGGGCGACAGAACCGACCATGTTTCGATCACTTTGTGGTGTTAGCGTGAGTTGAAGGGCGATTGCATGGTGAGTGTTTGATTAGAAGAAAGTTGGAGGCTCCGGCGGGAATATAAAGGCGGCACTTGAATATAATTAAAGAATGTCACGTTAAAAAATGGCTGTAATGTTCTGCAACAATATGATGAGCACTGAATGACGAGCATATGAAATTAACATAAATCATGACATGACAGTGGAGGCTTTGTGTATCAGCAGCTCTGCTGCAATGCTAAGTTGGTTAATAGAGAGGAAAATTTACCAATTTTGATAAGTGTTTTATTGTTGAAGTCATTTATCAAACAAAAGTGCCAAAATTTTAGTATTTGCTGCTTTTTTATGTTTCATATAATCACAAATCTGTTATTTGGGGGTTTTAGAGACTAAACAAGCAGTTTATATTACCTTGAGCTCTGGGAACTTGTGATGGACAATTTTTGACACCCTATAATCTAATATCTCGTTGATTCTTGACCTTGGAAACATCAGTTCACAAAAAAATCTCACCACAAGGTCTATTTAGTAGCTGAATAGGAGTGTCTCACATAATCTTCCTCGGTGAGATTGGTTTGGGGTCAACTAATGTGTCCAAGGTCTAGAATGAACTGTCACCTTCTGTTTTTATGCCAACAAGAAATTCTTAAAAGGAATATTTCAACATTTTGGGAAATACTCTCATATCTGTTGGATACAGCCAGGAGAAGCTGTTTTCCCCTGTTGTGTCTGTGTGATAAGCTAACTTTACTGTCTACTGGCTATAGCTTCATTTTTACTGTACAGCCGTGTGCGTTATTAATCTCGCCAAGAAAGTGAATAAGAGTATTTTTCAAAATGTCAAACAAAAATGTAAAGGACCAGTGTGTAGGCATCTTAGTGGCATCTAGTGGTGAAGTTCTAGATTGTAACCAACTGAGTAAACGGAGTAGTACGGAGAAAACACAACAATTCTAAATTTAAACATATCTATGAATATTATACTCCACTTCTGCCAATAGATCCTCCTAAATCTTACACACTGGACCTTTAAAGCTGCAGTAGTTGACTTTTATAAACATACATTTTTGGATCGTATTTGTTGAAACTGTCACTATATTTTGGACAGTAGTACATGAGATACATCATCTGTGCTTTGTGTTGGTGGATTGAAGAAGGTGATTGTTGAATCTCATTCCCAGGGACCAAAATGGGAATGAGACTCGACAATCGGCTATCTTTCTTGGCTCTGATTGGTTCTTTTCGTTCAGGCACGGTAGATTCTTGCAAATCCCATTAGGAGCACTAGGACAAGCCAGAGGAACCACATTTTTTTCACAGGTTATCTGTCTCGTGTACTTCTGTCAGGATATAGAGAAAGGTTCAGCAAATATGACAAGAAGTTATTTTTATAAAAATGATTTACTGCAGCTTTAATATCTACAATACCAAAACAACTGGGCAAACTCCATCTGCTGAGGATGCATCCAAATGTTCCAGAATTAGCTCCTAAATGGCACTTGTGGGGAGACTGTTCTCCTTTAAAATAAATTAGTCAATTAATCCTTATCAAATCCTGATCAACAGCCACATTAGTTCACCCTATGAACTGGACAATGTTGGGGTGAAAGCTGATGATTGCCACGTGTACAGAAGCACTGCTTGAGGAGAGTTTTTTCATTATCATGTTCACACCTTTGACCCAAGCTATTATCGCCTCGGATATAAAAAGTCCAACTTGTGCAACTTTTTCATGGTTGGATGAGTAGCGGTGATTGCTAACAGTGTGTACAGGACGGGACAGGACAGGCACAGCATGAGCACATCTCCAGGACAGCTGGAAGCACCAGAGAGCGAGGCATGTGTGCCAGTGAAGCATGTATTAGTAAATCTGACCTAAGCTGCGGATGTCTATGGTGATGTCCACATGGCCGTGCTCTGCGCTATGGTACATGGCCTCTCTCAGGGCCCTCAGTCTGGCCTTTCCTGTTCGCAGGGTCCCTCCACCGTTGGCCTGCGGTGCCAACCTCTTCTCCCCGGGCTCCGAACCCTCGGCAAGGATCTCCTCCAGGGATAGCACATCCCCCTTTTCCTTCTCTGACTGGGCGAGAAGCTTCCGAAATACATTCCTAGAGAGAAAGAGATAGAAGATAAAACCCAGACAGAGATTAAAGGAGCGCAGAGTGGTGGACTCCGTGGGAGGCGACCTGCGGCTTCTGTATTTAAAAATAGCTCAATCTAAGGTAACAAAAACACAATAATTCTTATTTTCAGGTGATTATACACTAATGAAAACATACCCAAGCATACTGTATTCCATCCCTGACAATAGATCCTAAATGTTACCTACTGGACCTTTAGAGTCATCGCATGTGGTAAAAAAGCCAATCAAGCTTTGGAGAAGGGGTGAGAAAACTACAAAACAACTAGCATGGCCTGGGGTCAAACAGTAGGAAGAGAAGTTGTAAAATGGGTGATTATAAACTGGAAAATGTTTCTAAATTAGGCATAAACGTACTGTGTTAACTCCACATTAAGCTCATCCAGCTCTCTATCCAGCTCTGGTGACATTCAAAATATTCTCAAGTACTTAATTAAGCATGATTGCGTACTCTGAACCTTTATCACTGCTGTGTACAGTCAAAATATATGAAGCTGGAACTGAAAAAGAGAAAAAAACAAAGAGAAAAAAGATGTAAAACAACATGTGCTTTAGTCTGCAGATTCATCAGCGCTGCGTGCAACATTGCATCGTACTGTTCCTGCAACAGAATGATGCAGCAGGAACAGATGCCCTCTTCTATTGAGAAGAATGGACTTCAACACGTAACGTATACAGTGTGATCACGGCCCGAGGATGCATCACTGCACCATCTGCTTTAGTGGGGAGGGGCTCATTTAGACCAACATAACATCATATCCTGTTTTTGAGATTGTTTGATCACCGGTGTCAAGTTAGTGGGAGGCTCACTTTGAAGCCGTTTATAAAATAAAGTTTGATCATCAGTAACAGTCCCATGGGTTTGATCAGTGAGTGAGCTGATTACCACAGCATTTTCTGTGCCATGGATCTGCACATCATGGCCAAAAGTATGCAGACACCCAAAGATATCTCATTCCTTACTCAACCATGGGCATTAATCTGATGAGATCCAGCACTGAAGGCCTGGCTTGCAGTCTGCGTTTCCATTCATCGCAAAAGGCCAAGGCTCTGTGCAGGGAAGTCGAGCTCTACAAACAATTCTGAGAATCATTTCTTTATGGACCTCACTCTGTGCGCTGCAAGGTTATTACAGTTAAAAAAAACAAAACTAGGTGTAAGTGTGGCTAGGTATAAGAGAGAAATTCCAACAAGGTAACAGCGTTCGGCTATTTTTTGACCTTTACATTCCTCGTACAGATAATTGTTACTCAGCACCGCCGAAGAAAAGCGAGCTTTTACAGCCCACAATCTCACAAACCAATCCTAATGCAGTTTGAGCAAGCTCACGACACGCTGCAGCATGATCAACATACTATAATTGATTGTCTTAATAATGCTGCATTGTGTTGTTGGCTTGCCACTCCACTTCCTGACAGCTCTCACTGTTGCTGAATGCTAATGGGCTTTATCTTACTCAGCTGCAGGGAAATGATGTCAAATGAGTGCTGCTGAATAGACTGCGGCGCTTATCGTCACACGCTGTCTGACAGCGAAGCCGAGATATCTGCCTCTCGTGTGCTGCAGGATTTTGTGAGAGGCAGCTGGACCAGGGCAGAGTGTGTAAATGGATCAATATGGTGGTAATGGATATATCTCTGGCTGGCTGGAACTTGTGTATCGGTCCCTGTGTGTGTGATTGCCTGTATTACCTGTGGCCGTGTGCTGCTGCCAGGCTGTATGAGTTCATGTCTCCGAGCGGGGCGGACGAGATGCCGTTTCGACACATGGTCCCGATCATGGGGTCGGCCCCTCTTTCCAAAAGCAAACTCACCAACTCAAAGTTACCTAAACAGTGTGATACATGAAGCAGATGAATACCAAAAATACAGCTTACATTTGATGCTTTGCAACCAATATATGTTGATCAGTGGTGGAACGTAAATAAATACATTTTTGACTATTACATATTCCATATTCCATTTAATGTTACTTTATGCATCTAACTTTCTCCCTGTTTTACTGGGATTCACATGTGTATTACACTGGTATATCTGAACTTTTCTGTCATACACATTGGTGTTTTAGGCAGTATAGAGTGTCATTTCAAGTATCCCAAGGAATCACTGAAGTAGCAAAAGCCATCGGGGCTCTGATCATCCTGTCAGACAGACCCAGAGCGTTCAACCTTGTCCTTAAGGTTACTGCAATTACTGCCTTCTGTACAGTGACACTGACACTGCGTTCACACTGCAAGCCTTAGCGCTCAGGTCTGATTTATTGCTCATATCAGATGTGGCTAACATCAGATTCCAGTGTGAACAGGTCATGGTCCTGAAGTGTCGATCTAGAGTGACGTATCACATGACTTCTGATAGAATTGTTCACACTGAAGTTGCAAAAAATATTACCTTTATCTCATTTGGCCCAAATCAGAAGTGAAAAGATCAGATTCCATGTGATTTCTGCCGTTCACATTGTCATGAACAAATCTGAGTCATATATGAGCTGCCTGTATGTGTGAATGTAGCCTTATAGGGCATTTGTGTGAGATGAATGTGCATCGGTAGATCCACGTATGCGCTCGTCTCCGGTATGAAGTAGCTGTATCCTCACTGGCCTGCATTATTATGAAGTATAATAACATATAAAGTATGATAAACTGGTTATGGGTCATGTACTGCCTCACTCCCTCTTCCTCTCCTTGCAGTTCTCATACATTCAGTTCCTGCCTGTGCTGCTGCTGTGGCCGCGTTCACAAACAGTACGTTCAAGTTTGCTGTCTCTTGTTGTGTAAGGCATCGTGTAAAATGTTGTTAATAACTATTAAATATACATTTTCGTGGTCATTCAAATTAATGGGAAAAAAACCATGCATGCTGTGCTGCATTTAGTATGACATTATTATACTCAGCACCCCCGACTGTGACCGACTTCCAGCATCCCTGGGTGTACAGCAACAAAACATAAATCATCAAGAAACCTTATCGCACTCCCTGAATTCCACATGGTGACTCTGAATGAAATCGAGTGACTGCAGGAGTGAGATCTGCTCAGTTGAACACAAAACGAATCATAACTAATCCCCGATGCACTCTGCCAAGCATTTGAAGAGCAGAAACTACCGTAGGTACCAGTTTAAAGGTGATTTAAACCATTCAATACTGATCTGATCTGACACAGTCAAGACACAGCTCATTTGAGATCAGTTGGAGTGTGACGTGAATTTCAGGATACTTGCATTGCTTATCTCAGCTTTAATATTCGAGTTAAGTTAAGTGACATTAAAGTAAAACAGGCAGGAACTATTCTGTCCCTCGAAAGTCTCTCACTCATTGCTATTCATTAATAAAATTAGCTCTGGGATTGTGGTCTTTATTTCATCTACATTATTTATTATTTAATGAGTGGGATGTTAATAGTGTTCATTATCCAGGGCTGTGTGTTTTAATCACTTGTTACCATGGCAACGTGGCTGCCTACACCTTCCTAGGGTCACTCGATGTAACACAAAGATTTACTGCTGTATGCCAACTTGTGAGATTTGAGTTAACTTTGATTTATGTTTAAAAGAAACTTTCATTATGATTAAATAAAAAGTAGCAGTGAAGAGATCACGGTCAATCATTGGGCAAATATGTGATGTATTTAAAGGAACAGACTTAGTTAAGGAGACTTGAAAACAGCTAGCCTGGCTTAGTCCATAAGTACATACCAGTACTTCTAGAGCTCACTAATTAACATGTTATATGTTGTTAATTTAAGTGGTAGAAGTATAAAAACAAGAAAAAAACAGTTTAAGTGTGGGTTTATTTCTTGTCTGGGTGCAGTGACTTCCTTGAGTTTCCACTGGTTGCCTGGCAACCTCACGATGTAAACAATACTTCTTTAGTTTGTGCACTGTAAACACTGTAGCGTGTGTTTAAAAAGTGTTGATCAGTGAGCTTTAGAGCTTTTTATAACCTTCGACCAAAGCCAGGCTAGCTGTTCCACTCTGTTTCCACTCTTTATGCTAAGCTATGCTAGCTGTCTTCTGGCTGCAGCTGCATATTCAACAGATATGAGTGTGGTATCAATCTTCTCATCTTCTCATCTCGTCAAAGAAATATGCAAATACGCTTCCCAAACTATTACTTTAAATGCAAATATGGTTCTGTTTTGACAGATAATTCCAGTCAGTTAAAATCTGATTTTGATTAGATCAAAAATATCTGCTGCAGATTCTTTCGTATGTGGCTGCACAGCTACTCAGCAACCCAATCATGAGGAGCAGCATTTAAAATTCAATTCATTCTTCACTCTCAGATAGTAATTGAAAGTGATAAATTAATTAGATGATTAAAGCAGAGTGAGAATGCCTTCTGGTGAGCTCCGAATCAAGCATGTCATGACTAATCTCTGGAATCTGAAACGTGAAGAATCCACATCTCTGCCGCTTGTATGATATTACCTGCAGCAGCGGCCAGCTGAAGCGGGGTCTCTGTGTAGTTCTCCGCCCCATCCTGCAGGGCGCCCTCCACATTCGCTCTATTATCCAGCAGCAACTGTGGCGGGGAGGGAGGGCGAGGCGGAGAGGGGAAAGAGAGAGAGGGAGGGAGAGAGGGGGAAACAAACCAGGAGGGAGAGTGGGGAGGAAGAAAACAGGCGAGGGAGAGATGGTGTGTTACATTCAGGCTTGGCAAGAGGAGAAGCCTCAACTGTTGGAAACCTAAACCACCTCATTTACAGATTGTCCGAGCTCTGGACACTGAACACACTCCTAGCTACGCTCCCTCATTATGTTCTATCTGGTGGGCTTATTGTTGGTGTTGACTTGCCTGAGCTGAGAAAGGAAGATTCAAAATGTGTTCTTCCCCTTCTATCCCAAAAAAAAAAAAAACATCTGATTGCGGTGGTGCAGATTAATAATTGAAAAAATCCTGAGGGCGACGCTGTTCATCAGGCTTTCAGCCAGTGTCAGCTCATATAATAACTACTGCAATAGACTGTATTATATATTATAAAATGGACAGAAATGAACAAAACACTGAAATTTGGCATCCCTGAGGCTGTGTATCAGCCTGGCTGAGCTCTGCTCTGTTTAGTTTGCCTCTGGAGTTTTCTCCCTGCTGTTGTAGCATCCTTAGATTCAGTTGTGGTGAAAACCAGGGGGCTGGGTGACTCATCTACACATCTTAAGAGCATACATTATTAAAAACAAACTTAATCTGGAGAGTTTGCCTTGACCAAGTCCTCTCCGCATAACTGAGATAAATACTGCACAGGATCAAGAAGGAGAAATAAAAAAACGACAAAAGGCATTATTATTGTTATTATTATGATGCACCATAATAATAATCATCATCATTATATCCTCATTTTGGTGCAAAGGTCAGGGCAAGGGCCACAGGTTAATGATTACAGGTCATAAACGTCACTACCTGCACGACAGGGACGTGTCCGTGTAACACGGCGAAAGTGAGTGGCGTCCCCTGGCGCGTTTCAGGATAAACTGAGGGGTGCTTGTTTACTGTGCTTGGCACCTGGGAAGTCATAGGTGAAGTTCAGGGAGAGAGATATACAGCCATTAACATTCACAGCTCAGGGCGGGAGATATGGGGGAGGAGAGAGGAGCGAGAAGCAGTATGCAGGAGGAGGAGTGTAAGCAAAGGAGGGCAGGATGGCAGAGGGAGATTTTCCTCTTGAGTTTCACAGAAAATCTTGCGCAGCTTGACTTATAGCCCTCATCTGAATCCGCTCTCTGAATGTTATATGTGCCTGGGCATGGCTCTCTGACCACACTTTGTACTATCTGCCATAGCTCCATCTTTAAATAGTGTTTCATTTCAAAGGGGAATGAAACCAGAGAGAAAACACAACATTGGCAAAGACTACAAACACTGGCAAGACGGATGGTGCTGACTCATGAACAAAGCAGCGTCAGAGTAAAATTAAACAGCCATACAGCCCGATGCTGTTCTGTGATTTCTAAAGTGGCTTTATCACAGAGTAAATTATAGAAATTATTTCTAAATGTCGCCTAGAGGAGGCCTCTTTCCAACAGACGTTTAATGTAATGTCACATTTCATTTGAGGTCTGATGCTAAACAACAGTGGGACTGTTAGTGTTTATGTGTTCGCAGTGATGAATTATTAATCACTTTATAATAAGAGGCAGTTTCTGCAGAAGCAGAGGGCATCAGTGACATAAAACATAACGGCTCCACAGTAGTGTTTTAACAAAACGGTTTAAACAGTGCAACGTTCAATCAGGGATTTGCTTTTGTTTTTACTTTAAGGCTCGGTTCACCCAAATTATAATCAAAAAGACATGTTTTCTCTCATCCCCAGCAGTGTATTTAACCATGCAGATATGGTAGTTTTGGTTTTATATGTTGAGGTTGTGAGATTTCTGTCAATATGATGGAGGTGAGTAACAGTAATGCTTCATAACCCATAGCCCTAGCTCTGGTTTTTACAGGAACTATTTCAGTTGCTGACAGTACCGTCTGGGGATTATGTAGGTCAGTAGGTTCCTCTGTGTTTTGGCTTGTGACTCCTTACGATGCAGAAATCTCATGACTCCGTTATCTACACACCACTGGCTGTGGAGATACCACGGAGAGACTACACAAACTATCATCAGCCAGCTTGTGTTTCTGCCTATGAGTTTCTGATACCGGTGGAGATTGTAGAGAGTGAAGACAACATGAGGCATGCTGAGAAAGGACTCAGACATCTCCACTGCAAACACAGTGTCACAGTAAATAAAAGAACATAAAAACAATGACTGCAATGACAGTAGTCTGATATTCTGTAACGAGAGATGGCGAAGTAACGGCATACTCTATATCTGAAGGGGAATGAAAGAATGGAAACACAATCAGTGTGGTAAATGTAATTAAAGCAGCTTATGGCCTGATGGTGTAGCAGATAGTAGTACTATGAGTGAAATCTGAACTATAAATCAAACCTACTCTGATGGCATCTGCTGTTATGCTTTAAGTATATATCCAGCAGATATGAGTTTTTACGTTGTTCAAAACAGGATTTTTGATTCTCAGGCTGTTTATTTTGAAGTATTTTTAGAGGCCTGAAGAAGTAAAAGTAACCTTTATTTCCTTTATACTATTTTCATTTTTGTTTATTATTATTATTTATCTTAATTTTATTGTTTTTCCTCCTCTATTGTGTCCTTTAGCCTGATTCTCATTTTACCTGCCTTGCATGTTGCTTTGTAACATTGTTAAGAAATAGATATATAGATAAAGTTTATTATTATTATTATTATTATTATTATTATTATTATTATTATTATTATTATTATTATTATTATTTCAAGCCCCTGGGGGATTTTTAAGCAGTTCTATTTCACATTTATATTTGCTTTTAGTTTTTTTTCTACATGCGTAAACAAATATACAAAACAATCTAGTTAAACCAGGACATTGTTTTGGAAAGAGTGAGATTTGAGCAGAGCAGATTTGATCTCCATTTAGATAATGTAGATCTCAAAACCCTCAGCACATAAAACTATCTGCATGGCCAGACTCCATTTAGAAATACAAGAGAAAATATGTTTCTTGTAATTTGAACTCTTAGATGATTTATACAAGTAGCGCTTTGTTTGAGAGTCAACACATCTGCACTATGTACAGGCACTAAACCAATGGAGCAATCACAACAATGAGGTCACTGTGGTGGAGGAGAGTCCATGAAGCATTTCTATTCTCGAATGTTCTTATTTCCAGATCAGATTAAAGCAGCTACACACACACACACACACATACACACACACACACACACACACACACACACACACACACACACACACACACACACACACATACAGCACATACTGCAGAGACAAAATCAGGATTCTTAACAAGGCTTCACTGTTACTTTTAATTCTCTTTGTTAATAAATAAGTGCAGTGAAGTTCATGCTTCATGCACAGTCTGTGGAAGCAAGTTACACTAAGTGCACACACTTGTACAACAGTAATGCATTATTGATGTAGTCTAAAGCAAACTGCTGCTGAATGTCTGCGCTGTAGAATACGATGCCTGCACTCTGGGACTATCAGTGGATTATTATTCTTTATCAGAGCAGAGACAAACTATGATTGTTACTGTGGAAACGACCCTCGCTTATTGCTTATCAGTGCACTTCATGTAATAAGCTGCCAGGAGAACAGAGAGCATGCCGACAGCAGGTGAGACAATGAAGACAGAGATAGGGGAAAGAGCAACACAACGTGGGTTCATCGTTTTCACTGATACACACAAACAAATGTAAATGAACATTTTGGACAAAAACAAACAAAAAAAAAATGTGGTCCAATGTGACATTTTGACAGACTGAAGGTGTTTTGTGAACACTGACCTCGCTGTTGATGTCAGCTCCGGCGTCGAGCAGCATCTGGACCATGGCCTCATCACCGCGGACGCAGGCGTACATCAGAGGGGTCATTCCCTGTGGGAGGGAGGCAGGAGGACGGTTTCTACAATGTACTTTTGTTGAGAGGAAAGGTGATGAACTCTTTCAGGAGTTTCCAGTAAATCACAAATGCAATCTTCTTCTTATTTGAAAATGGTAAAAAAAAAAAAAAACCTTTGTTTTTGCCAACAGTTTGGCAATTTTAATAGGACAGTTAGTGCCATAAAACTGCGATTGAAAGGGAATTGCTCTCAATTCTAGACTAAAGTAATGCCAATTCTTCTACTTGTGTATTACCATTTTATGCAACTTTATAGCATAAAATGTCCAGTCCAGGGTTAGTTTCCCATAATACAATGTGTCATTATATGAAGAGTAACAAGGCTGGATACCAATCAGCTCCCATATCATTTTAGTATTATAAAAGAAATATAAAACAAATGAAATTATTGTACAGATAAAGTTCTCCAGAGCTATTGATTGTGCATCCTAGAAAGGACTAAATTTTTCTACCAATATGATAATTATCTCACACCTGGCAACGCTGGCAGATGGATGGATAGCATCACCAAAATATGGCATTATATATAAATTTAATATCATTTTTAGGCAGAAATGTACAATAGTGTTTTTGTCAGTGCACTTTTTGTGTGTTCATTAACAAATTACTTGATCAGAGTGCTGTGCTTTTCGTAGTACATTTGCTGCTGATCTGTTTTTGAGATGTCAACAGTTCACTCGTGGTGTACTTGAGCACGCTGATTCATTATTATAACTAACAAACACACATGAAATTGAACTGTGAAGGCAGATTCTTTGCTCATTTCTCCTAACTATACCATGAAAAATGTGGATTTCATTGCTATCAGCAAAGCCCTTAAGAGACCATTAGCACTTCTTTAAGGAGCTCTGTAACAGCTGTGCTTTCTAGTTCTATAGGAAGTCTTTTTTTACATAATGTTCTTTAAATCGCTGTGTTGTCATAAGGAACCTCTGAAGTGCCATATGTGCTAATCAGCTCCCTGACTAAAGGTTGTATTAAAATATACCCAGTATTCATACCTAACATACGACTCAGAGCCCATTTCCCTCCTCATCAATCAGAGACATTTCCAGCAGTTGCTTGCAGGTTCTAATTTTCCGGACATAATCATAGCTGCCTCAAAATAACCATGTCCTCTCAACCAGAGCGACAGCATAGGTGGGCTGTGAAACTCCTAACATAACATCTTATATCTCCACACGCCACCATATGCACGGAGCGCTCTCTTGAGCCTGACACGCCCACACACATTATGCTCCGAGCTGCGGGGTGAAGCTGCATCTAAGTGAAAAATAACAAAAAGAACTTTATTGTAAACCAGGTGGCGAGTTTTTCCCATTTATCCGACTATCTAGACTCAAGCAAAAGATCATTTTAAAAAGTGTTTTGGATGAGCTTCCATAAAGCAGACTTCAATCATATGTCTGATCTGGGCCATTATGTTCAACAGAGGCCTTTTACGACTCGCTCATAACAAGCACTTTATGTTAAAGACTGATATCCCTTTGTGGTGATTCATTCTCAAATATTTCCTGGACACTGGTCTACTTAATCAGCAGACAGCTAAAGAGCGATAGACGTGATCATCGTGATGAGTTCAAATGCCTCTCAGCCGTGATGACAGGCCGCAGCTTTGACTTTATTACTCCTGTAATGCTGTCTAGTCCCTTGCACCGTTTAACTGGTTTTTACAAGTGAATAAAAGCCTGTGTGTCACCTCGGCTTGTTATTTATGAGAGGAGAGGGGAGGAAACCTGTCAGTCAATATTTGTTATACTCGTAAGGACCTGTAAATACTGAAAAATAATTCAGGTCCGTTCCAGTCAAATAAACTGACTGAATGTGGTTATGAATAAAACCGCCAGGAGCTGTGGAAGACATGAAAACTGTAGGTTTTCCAAAATGTAGGTTTTTTAGAGTATCTGAGTGGAGCTCTGCCAAGAGTTTTCTTAATTGAAGTTAACCAGGCACAGCTTTCTGACCACGGAAAATCTGATTGCACTATTAGCTTCCACTTAGCAGAGCAAGGAATAACCAATATTTCCATTGACTGGGGAAGGTAGAAAATCCCAAATGACATTAACACTTTAATGCAGTAAGGCTGAGCTATCGACCTGATGGTCAAACCCATCACAGGTCAGTCCAGGAAAAGTGTTGCAGTATCAGGTACAAATGGAACAATAGATCGCTCCCTTCTTCCTCTTTTTTTTGTGATAAACAGTAGCTGTGTAGTCTCTACCTGTATTCATACCTGTATTTGGATTTATATCATCAAGACTGCTTCATTTTCTGTGTTCTGTTGTTTGTTTTAAATTGCCATCTACACTCCTCATATGTATACGTGTAGCTGCACAAATACAAAATAACATATTTTAAGCATGTACCTAAATTAAATAAATGATAAAGCATGGTTGTACTTGAACCTCACACAAATAAACAATCTAATCTAGTCTAAAAGGCTGACTAAAATATGTCTTATCTGTTTTATTATTTGTATTTATCTTCATTGTTGTTGTTGTTGTTGTCTGATTTGACCCATAGGTTTCTGAGGAGTTGCTGTGAAGGTCAGTGGGTGGAGCTGAGGCAGGTTTAATGAAGCCTGTTGACTGAAAACAACCGCCTGTGACGGCATCCACCTGTCACTCAAAGCGGCCATTTATTATGTACAACTTTAAGCCTTAATTTAATTTAAACAGGCGAGATATATATAAATTAACCTATAGAATCTATAGAAACCAAAACCATTATTTTTACCAGACTGTTATTTCTGTTGTGCAGTTCAATATGAAGCTTTATGAGGATTAACTCACTTCTGTATCCAGCCTCAAGTGGCCATTTCGAGTAACTGCAGTTTTTGCGTTTGCTTCATTTGCCAGCCAGGGAAGTTGCCGATTGCACAAAACAAGCAATTAGATGACTGATTGATGAATGAAATGGGGGTTTCTTCAATTCTTTCTCACATTTCATACACCACGCCGGTTCATCGATTAGGTAGGAAATTAATCCACAGATTAATCGATAATTAATTCATTAGATGCAGCTGTATTACGACCAAAGATCTGAGGTTATAATGAGCCTTTTAACGATTTCTAAATAGATTTACCCTCATGGACATTGGGGATCCTGATACTAATGTAAAGTTTGGTTTCAGCTGATTTTTAGGAGGAGGTTAAGATGTCTAAGTGTTTCAGTTTGATTGAGTTTTAACTCTGAGAAGAAGTGGTGTTGATGTTTGTGCCTGGACGACAAATATTATACAAATATTCAGATGCTGCCCATATTCTAATAATGCATTCATATTCCTATAAACACCCTCGTACACAGACAGAAAGAACATTTTCATATACATGATGTGAATTTGTTGTATCAGTTCAAAGTTGTATCATAGAATAAGAATTTTGCACATTGCATGACTCATAGGGAGCAGCCTGTGCTCAGCGTGTGTGTGAACTGGGATGGTAATACTTGTTAGAAATTCACTGGGTTTAGCTCTCCACTATTCCTGTGCAGGTGTGTGATGTTAATGCCGTATAAGCACGTAGGAGTGCGTGTTAAGTGCCGGACCTGTTCGCTCATGCTGTTGATGCCATCGGGCCCCAGCAGGTTCACAGCCTGCTTGACCAGGTCCGTCCGTCCGCAGTTGAGCATCCTGAAGCCCAGATCCTGCAGGAACTTGGCCTCTGTGGAGGCTGCGTCCAGCTTTCTGGTGGCACAGAAACAATCCTCCGCTCTGCAGATGGAAAGAGCAGATCCATTACTGTGATTAAGTGGGAGCTTATCTCAGAAATGGATTTTGAGATCTGTGGATATACATCTCCACTGCACACTGATGGAAACAGAAAATGAGTCGGCTTTTCACAACTTAAACTCTTAGCATTATAAAATGAGCTGCAACGTTATGAGTTTATTTCAAGTATTGAGCTGTTTGCCTTCAAAGTCAATTCACCAACCTTTGCATATGTCATTTTTTTTCTTTGCTTGCTTCTGCTTCTCTGCTTCCTTCATTTCCTAAAGTAGCTTTTCTCCAGGTAAGACTTTTGCTATGACTCATTATTACTCATTCATGTCTCTCGTAAAGCCCCTTAATCCAAGCTGCGAGCAGCTGTCACAGCTTCCACGGGGCCACAGAGGAACTTTTTCATCATGTTTGTCCAATGTTACGTGACAATTATATCTGACATATGTAAAGAGATGTTAATTGGCAATTCACACCTCTTAGTGTTTCATTTATTATTTCTCTGCAAGTATTTGAAATGTGATAAGACTCTTAACCCACTGACACCAACACAAAATCACTGACTGAGCTGCCGTGTGACAAATATTGTGCACAGCTTTAAGTGAGACAGAAACATGCAGAGAGAAGATTTAGCCCCAAAGACAGCAGAGAAGAGGAACAAGCACACTTTATTTAGTAACTTTCAAGTCAAACATTACAGTTTAACATAACTAAGAGTCTGTTTTGATTAATTGTAATTTGGGATTAATTAATTGGGGGTCTGTGGTCACAATAATATGATATGCTGATGTTTAGATACAATGTTTACCACCTTAGTTTAGATTGTTTGCACGCTAAAATTAGCTAATTAACATGTTACGAGTTATTTCTGCAGGTATTTGGTCATAAACCAAAGTATTGGACAATTTTTAAACGATCAGCAAAGTTATTGTAATTCACCCAGAGACGGACATTAGTGCAGATAGCAAATTTCCATCCAATAGTTATCAAGACCTTTAAACCACAAATGTCAACCTGCTGGTCCATATAAAACTACACTTTATCTCTAAACGCCGCTAACGTGGCAAAAAATTCATCAAAGTTCACCAACTGACTGGCTGAGCTTGTGTGTCGTTCTTATTTGAAACCTTGGAAAGGTCAGACTAAATTATAGCAATAAGCATCCTCATTTCCTACCACTTTGACCTGTCATGATGCTGGTGAAGCGCCTGAAATAAGGTGTCACTAACTGTTATAGTCACACTTGTGTTTGGCATGTCAAGAGTGTCCTTAATGACCTCTTACAATACAGTAATACTCTTCTGCTACTGTACTGATACAAGGACTGATCTCAATAATTACTTCAATATGCAACTTTTATAAAGCCTTTTTGGCTTTCTGGCTTTTACAAAATGCATTGTAATTATTTCCAGTCAAACAGAGAGCTTGATTTATAGGTAGACACTATAACTTGACTTTTTTTTGGGAACATTTATTGAAGTTTTGAACAGATGTGTGCAGTGCTGGACCTTTTGTTTGGCTTGAGAGATTTATGAGTTGAGCTACTGGTCTTATGGGCAAGAGTTTATGTTGATTAAACACTTCCAGAAGCAAGAATGACTGCTGGCTCACAAGGCAAAATTGCCTCCCATACTTCACTCACTGAGGTTTAACAAAACCAGTGAGATTATTTCTGCCTCAAGAGCTGCTTTCTTGTTGCAGTAAAACTTTTTTTTATAAGCATCATATCCTTACTTTATTTGCCGTGGTTCACAATCCACACCGGGGAGCAGCAGCCTGGCGGCCTGCCTCACATCATCGCTGTCTACAGAGAAGCTTCGTCGATGCTCAGTGTGGGCGACAGCCACCCGGATCCACTCCATCAGCGGAGGCAGTACCAGGAATGGCCTGCAGGGGAAAAACAGAGGTTTGCTTGCTCTCATCAAATGTGCAAATCAAATCAGGTTAGTTGAAACTTGGATGACATGTAAAATGGGATTTTCCTCAAGCAAATGATAGGATGTAGGAGTGAAAAATGATAACGAACTAAATGCTTCATTAACTATGACAGATGATCCCCAAACTTACAACATTTTTGGCTGTTTCACATGAGAGTTTTCTTTTTTTTTGTGCTCTTCTTGTTGGTTTGAAGTGGGTGGGGATCTGTTGGGAAAAAGATGACATACTACCATGCACCAGTCAGGATTGAATCAGAATCTGAGGACAGTTGGTGGGTTGTTTGGTCATAATATCAGCTCAAACCACACCTACACAGCCCTGATGACGAGTTTTTGAGTGTTAAACCCTTTAAGTAATGACATAAGAGGGTTTTTTTTTTGCTTTCATTGTCACCTAAAAGTCTATGTGCGTCAAACCAGACCTAGAGAAGGCTATAAAAGCCTCAAAAAGCAAGAGAGCACATACACACGCAGACTCATATCAGAATAAAGTATCCTGATTAATCTGACCTTTGTACGTCAAAGTGAATTTTTCAAACCGATAATATCACCTAATTCTTTAAGACACGTTGCTGGGATTCTTATTGCTCTGTGTGCTCTATTGACTTTTCAAATAAAATCACTTAATAAAGACTGTGGTCTAAAACGGATAGCCACAAACTTTCTAATTAAAGATGCCCTTACAGATAACTGAAAAGGCAGCTACACCAAATCAATATTCATAATTTATAACTCAGGTAGTCCAGAACAGAAAGAGATCTAGATGCTGCAACCTCCCTAAATGCTGTTATTACCTTCTTTAATCAAAATCAGTAATGGGTCTTGCCTGGCTGACATGTTCATATTTCATCATTTATTTCCAGGACTAGTGTGTGTGTGTGTGTGTGTGTGTGTGTGTGGATAGTCTCTAATCACATAACCTGTAAATCACCTAATCTGTCTCTCACACACACACACACACATACACACTCTTATGTTGTTGTGTCTGCTATTTATCTTTTCCCCCACAGTGCAACAGCAGCAAAAATTCAGGTCAGTCATTCATCAGACATTTAACCCCTTTACATCGGTTCACAAGCAGAATGAGATGTTTGTTTTTTCAATTTGTCAGGTGTTGATGTGCCTAAAAAATGCTTAAACTAATATATATTCAACAGGTTTGACTTGCTAATTTATTGTAGTAATAATACATTTTGGGAAATACAGTTATTTGCTTTGTTGCTAAGAGTTATATGAGTAGATAGATATGTATCGTACAAATAAAAATGACCAAAGCTGCTCAATAATGTCTTTTTTAACTCACAAACTTTTAGCTAGTTTTACATAAAATGTGAATTATGTTGATTTAAGTTTAACGTTTTGAATTAAATGAACTGGTTTTACAGTGTTGTAACGTAATGTGATTTAATATAAACACGGTAAGCTATCAATCTTTCCATCTAAATCTTGGCAATCAAGAAAGCAAATTTCTCAAAATATCCAATGATGCCTTTAATGACGATAGCGAATAAATTGGCCATTTGCTAACCCCATAGTTACTGTTGCTAAGCAACTAAGCTTTCCACTCCTGTACTGCACGTACGCTAATGCCATTTTTAATGATAATGGTGGAGTATTAACAGTAATTTTTTGAAAGAACATTTACTTGAATACAGGAAAAGTAAAAGCAGCATTTTCTTTTCTTGTCTGTGTTCGTAGATTTTTCTGTGCTGATGTATCTAACGTTAGCTCCATGAGAAATGCTCTTCATGACCTCTTAATGTTTCCAGCTGACTCCTTTTAAATATGCATATTTTGTAATAAATATTTCAAGAGGTCTTAAATATATACTCGATGGCTGCATACATGATGTTGTGCTATAGAAATGAGGCTACGGCTGCGACTAACTGAACATTAACAAACATGTTAAGATCTACAATTCTAAAAAAAACAATACAATACGCCATATACTGTATGTAAAGTGAGTTTCAAAATAAAAAACCTTGCAAAGGGGTCTTAAATACGCTAGCTGCATACACAATATCGTGCTAAATAAATGAGGCTAAAGCTTTGGCAGCATCCTTAGCAGTTGATGATCCATTCAGAAGCTCTCTTCAAATTATCAAACATGTATTACCACAGCTGGTAATTAACTGTCTCATCAGCTTTATTCTTGTCTCATTCAACCACAGTTCACTATAAAAGGGTTTCCCGTATCACAAAAACATAAAGGCTCATTGTTTTCAGGCACTGGATAAAGTTCATAGGTCTAAATGTGAGTCCATCTGCTGGCAGTGTGTGCTTTTGGTAAATCCCACTCATTCATAATAATTTTCCTCTCAGGCTCATAAAATGGTCCTTTCTCTACTCTACATTAGGGAACTAATGACAAACAGAACAGCCTTATAGTTGCTTTTTGCTGTGCCTGGCAGGTCACTGGTAGATAGGACACACTTGAAAAAGATCCTTTTACAAGGTTCTCATTGAGCAGATATAAAGCTTGATCCCCCCCATTTATTGTACTTAGTCATCATGACCATCCCCTTTTATGATAGTATTCAGGAGACTTTTAACAACAAATGTCCTTATTCTTCAAAAATTTTAATTATGGTAGAGCTAGGAATAATTCTGACTCACTAGATCTTACTTTAGACTTTAGATCATAATAAAAGTCCTTTAAGGCTTTTAAAATCACGCAGCAGTCTCAGATGTACATTGGAAAACCCTGAAACACTAAATGAAATGGGCTAATTTTGTGTTATAGTCAGCTAATCATATTTTAAATCCATCAGTAAAGGTCCCTGTAGAGCTTTTCTCCCTCGTGACCCTCTGGCAACTACAATTTCCTGAATTTTGTTTTTATTTCAAACAGAACCACGTAGCCAACAGAGAGAAGCCATTTGGGACTGTTATGTTTACCATTTATGCAGCTGGTCTGGTCCTTCTGTAAATTTGCTGTAAGCACATGTTTAATCAGGACAGCAGCTTTTAGATATTGACACACTGTGTTTGACTAGTCTACATTTTATGTGCATCAGTTTCTCATCCCACAACCAAAGCTATCCTCGTCTTTACACCTACAGTCTGCCAGGAATTTGAACTCTGGCAAGAGTTTTAATAAAGCAAGGTCCTCACTGCTGTTTGGCAGTTGGCTGACTAATGTGACAATTCGAGCCTCCTCCCTTTGCTCAGAGCTCATGCTCTAACTGATGTCTGCTTCCTGAAAGACATATATATATATATATATATATATATATATATATATATATATGTACCGTTCTAGGATTGAGAAAGAGGGAGGCCCAGTCTAGAATGAAAACACTGAAGGTAATGTTATCCATCGATACAGACAGCAGGCCTGTAGCGACAACCAAGAGCTGCCAGTGTGAAAATTCCTCCACAGGAGTAAACGTCTTGGCCATAATACTGAATATATAGCATGAATCATACTGTACTGCAGCTCTGTTACTATTTTAAATTGCTCTAGATTCTTCATCTTTCTTATAAACTTAAAAAGAAAAATTGGAGCCATAAAACCAATTTTCTTCCTTTAAGGCTAATTTGAAGTCAGGCAGATATATAATGCACAGGTGTAAAAGGCATTTGAGCATTTTACTTCCCTTCAATAATGTGCCACCTTACAGAAGCTTATCTGGAGCTTCACAATACAACTCTAAAAGATAATTTGATCTAATTTAATCATATTCTGCCTACCTCTCATCCCACTGTGTTATTCAGACCCTTTCTACTTGTCTTCAACCTTTCGGCAGAATGCTAAATAGAGGATTTTTATCTCTGGGGACCCGAGAGCCTGCTGACATGTCACTCCGCCTGACATTCCTTGTGCTCCCCAGGGTCGTCAGGATGGAGTTTTTATCTCCTCGGAGTGGGAGAAAGATGTTGGAATATCTGTCCATCCGTCCATCCAAGTGAAGTCCCCCTGGTTCCCATCAATCTGCTCAATGCCTAGGGAAGTGTCAGCGCTGACCAGCCCACGCAGCATCTTACAGGATCGCTTGTGGGGCGAAAAACTTGTGTGCAAGAAAGTGGGAATGTTTGTACTAACCTTTACAACAGTTGAAATTATTCTAGCACTGGTGTGCCACCAACTGACAGAGGCAATGTGGCTGAGAGGATTTATGTGTCTACCTATCAAGACGGAGAGCTTTTGGAGTTCGTGCCGACTGGATGCAGTGCTTTTACAGTGCGTACAGTGTGCCAGAAATAAGGGTGACGGACGTTTTGGGAGATTGGATTTTAACTTATGCAAACATTTCTCAGAGATAGAAATCATCTTGACTTAAAGCTTGATGAGTGGAGGTAAAGGACCACATATCATGGTGTACAAGTTAGCTAATTGACAAAACTGAGCAAGCGAAGACAAACTTCTTCTCTTTTTTTTTTGGCTCTTTGAGACAAACAAATTGAGACTGCTCTTCATTTCCAGAGCTAATACATCCTAAGTGTCTGCTGAGGCCTGTGCCATTTGAAACACTGCTATTGCCTAAATGGATCCTTTCCAGCCATTGGTATACCAAGTTCAGGTGATCATAGACAATCGTTAGAGTAATGAAACATCACGTAGTGTATTTGTGTTTAGGTGGTCATAATTACTGGTGAATCAGGTCAAGCACTTGAACTAGGCCAATAAAAAGGCCTATATACTCTGTTTTTATACAACTACTGCTCTAAAGTTGGACATTTTGCCATTTACCACTCGTGTTTGCACCTTTTTTGGCTGTTTGACGGGAACTTTCTGGAGGTAAACTCCTAAGTTAACATAAAACGACTAAAAGCATCACTAGCGAACAATGCCACCAAAGATGCTATCCATGCAAACATTAATGTTCTTCCAGTACGACAGTGACACAAAAACTTTATTACAGTTCAATTTTAACCAGTCTGAGACCGCCTCATTTCAGCAGACTTCTTGGCCCACAGAAAAAGAGCTCATATTACCACATTTTTAGGATTTGGATTAAACTATCTAGTGTGTGAAAGCAGCATCATCTTCAGCCTCACTTGGACTCACCTCTCAGTCTGTAAGGTGACTTTGGAGGGCTCAACGTTGGGGTTCTCCCATTCCATCTGTGGGCAGTGCATGAAGTAACACAGGGTATAGAGGGCCTCGGGCTCCCAGTGCACCGTGGTGTTGGTCTTCTGGTGGACCGGAGTCCCATTGCTGGGGTTCTTGATGTGCAGCGGCTGGAGGTGGTGCATGGCCCGGGATACCAAATCACCTGGAAGATATTTTAATACGTGAGAACAGCTTGTGGATTTCCCCAACATAATTTGATAAATATACAGGGAGCATGAAAATACATTTTTAAAAAATTACACAAATGCATCAAAGATGAAATAATAACATTGTGTACTACACTGAGGAAATATCTAGTCATTATAAAAGAAGTCCTACGCATTACTCTCAGAGCACAAATCCAATTTTTTGCACCACTCCTTTGACATGTGAGTACTCGCAGCACTTCTGTAATGAAGTAGAGACGCACTCCCTCATTTACACACCCTCTGATTCACCGTACATTTAGTCATACACATATGCCCACACAATCCTTGCTGAGTGGGAAATTGCAGCCTTGAAATTAAATCTTACGCACATCGTGCCTCTCATATCACTTAGGAGTCTGAGCTCTTATTCTTTCTTCATTTTTATCTTTTACTCTTGTTTTTCTCCTTCTTTTCCTCCCAGTTTTCAGTCATGGGAAAACTCCAATATCTGTGTCAGTGTGTGTGTGTGTGTGTGTGTGTGTGCAAAATGTCAAATGAATCAGGGAAGCCCGTTTAAACCACATGCACTTCCTGCCATTAGAAATGTGATTCACGGTTGGTATAAGACACACAGATGAATTCATTTTGTGGTTTATTAAAAAAGAATTCAGATTTTTTAGAACATGGGTTATTATTATTTTTATTATTTTTTTGTAGCTTTTACCACTGTATCCATCACAAGGGACCAAACATGAGTAGTCAGTAGGTTGTAAACAAACAAATAGTTTTGTGAGTCATAGTTAGTGTGCTCCTTAGAAAAAGATAAAAAAAAAAAATAAAAGATACATGTGTCTGGGGTACAGAGGGAGTAGTTCCAGTGGAAATACGTGTCGGTAATAAAGACTGTGAGAAGTTATGCTCTGCAAGTCTAAGCCACTGAATTCTTAATACACAAAACAATATAAGTTTAGCCACCAAGCCAAAACGTGCCATTAAGTGAGTTTTTGGAGGTGCTGGCAGGTGGATGTCATTTTGGATTGAGCTAGGCTAGCTGTTTCCCCCTGTTTCAAGTCTTTGTGCTAAGCTAAACTAACCTGCTCTTGGCTTCAGCTCCAATATATATCTAGATATGACAGGTTTCGTAACTCCAACCAAAAACAAGCATGTTTCTGAACACGTTAAACGGTTGTTATTTCTGCATATTTTTTTTTTTTTCATGCATCTTGCTGGCTAGCTATGTAGGAGGATGATGTTCCCATTCTTAATCCTGCCTACAGAGCTCAGTGGACACAGCAACAACAACACAACACCATCTGTTTGAAATGCTGGGCGATGATTCAGAGGTCTGGAAGCAGGTTACCACGTTTCCAGATGTTATCATAACCAATAGGAATGATGGCCAAAAGCATGAATAAGAATAAGATCCAAACTATAAATTAGCAAATTATTCTTCAGTCACATTTTCGGGACAAAAATCTTTTCCCACAGCCTTGATTTTTGATTAAGGTTCGAGTAAAGATCAGGATTGGCAGAGAATTAATGCTCCTTTTATTTGACAACAAAACAAAACAAGTGTGTGCATTTGAGGAGGCATAAAACATAAAAACCTCATAACGAAACAGTTTTATGTAAAAACAAAACCAGCCACAGAGATTAAGTAAACCTTTATTCTAGGAAAGATAGAAAACATTTACTGGTATCTTCCATGATGAATGTGGTCCATTGCTTTTAGTATGAACCTATTTCACGCTGTGTCTGTACGCAGCAGGAGCAGGGAACAAATGAAAGTCAGAAGAAATTTTACAATTCTAATAGTTTTGAACACCAGAGGAGGTAGATGATTTCAAAGCCTGAAATTCAATACCTGTAAACTACAGAGGAAGATAGTCAGTGCTGACATTTAGAGAGTCATAATTCTGTGATTTAGGATTTTGACAACTTCACAGCAGCTTATCGATGAGGTCATTAGTGATGCATTTAAGAATAACGATGTTGCCATGAGAGGGAAAATACTGCAGCGTGAGCCTGCAGGGTCGATTTCTCGGAAAAATTAATATCCCCATTGATCTAATTATTAACCAGGTTCACTGGAACGCTGGAGGTTTCAGGCATTTTGGGTTTTAGACCGAAAACACCGCCTACCTGAATCTTACTGGATACATGAGTAATATGTGAATAAAACATTATGTGTGAAAAGTCTGAAGCTCTGAGCTTGCAGTGCAACAGTAAACACAGCACAACACACACATTCTCTCTCTCTCTCTCTGATCTTGTTTGATTGTTTGTTCCAAAAATACCCCGTCTGAAGAAAGTTGGCCTGTCTTGAAACCTCATTCCTTAGACAGAATGACACGGTGAGTCTGCGCCCAAGGTTCTCCATCTGTCAGACTAAAGGCCCCTGACAGAGTTCACAGGCAGTCAGACGTAAACAGAGAGCGCGTTGCTCACAGCACAGTTTGCACTCCGGCTCCAGGGAGCCTCATAGACAGTTGAGAATTAAATACGTCAAGAAATAATTGAAAACAAGGCCTTGTTTCTATGATTGAAGACGTGTGGTGGGATAAGGCTTCCATGCACAAGTATGGACATGTTGGACAAACGTGATTAGATATGGTCACTTCAGTGCGATTAGTCAGATGCAGCAGGGGCAGCTCCTGAAGGTGTTCAGACCGAGGAGGATGTGACCTACAGCCACTGCTACGGTTGTCATTGACTTTGGGGAACTAACTTATTTTAGTTGAGGTCAGGGTAATCTGGTCAGCCTTATGGCCAATTTCCTCAATCTGCTTCTTAATATGAGAAACATTCACACACTATTTTCTGCCCAAAGCTAGAAGAGTTTTAGTCATTTTACATTAGAAATTTATATTTTCTTGTTTTGTCTGATGTCTTGACTGGCAGGGCACACTAATGAGAGTTTTAATCAAAATCTAATGACGGTCGAAGCATCGTTTGGCCACAAATGTGATCAAACCACAACCACAGTGTGATCAAACCAGTCCTAATAAAATCGATCAGCTGAGTTTTAGAGTGTTAAATACTGAACAGATAATACCTAAGGATGTTTGTTTCAAATTGTTTAACTCTGGTTGTTGATTAGTCAGTCATGGATGTTTAATCTTCTGGAGCAATACTTAAGATTTGAAGCCAAGGTTTTAAATGAGTAAAACGGAATAAACATTTCTTACGATTTCATCAGGAATCGTCCTCAACTTCAACCCTAACCATAAAGACATTGCATAAAAAGCAATGTTATTTTTGCAACTGTGATTTCTAAGAGTTTGGCCACCAGATAAAAAAACTCAACATTTATTTGTGTCATTCTGTCATTGTGTCATTATAAACCACATATTTAGTTGTTGGCTTTATTGATTTTGTGATATAAACACTGCGTTAATTGTATAACTGCCAGTACAGTAATGCTATAACAACAGTTTTTAAAAAATTGATTCATTGTTTAAGTCATCCAGCAAACAAAAGCATCGCCTCTCCTGCTTCTCAATGTGACAGTTTACTGATTTATTGATTTTCTCCGTTCAGTATGATTGTGAATTGAATGCCCTTGGGCTTTGAAAAGCTGACCACACACAAAAAAAAGCAGCCACAGATTGTCAGTTTCACTATTTTGTAACATAAAACAATCAGTACATTAATCATTAAATGCAACAAGTATTACTTGCAGCTCTGCAGAAACTACAGGTATAAATTGCTCCTTCAAACTGGCTCCTTGACTGTGCCACAGCTTGTAGGCTCTGTTTGCTTTGCACCTTTGGTACTCAGCAGCATTTAGCTTCAAACCTTAATCGGGTTCAGCATAGGAAACCTTTGTACTTAGGATGTCCCCATGCTACTCAGAGTGAGTTTACGCAGTGTGCTACTGGCCTGAATACAAAGAGGAAAAGTGAGACATTAAAATAGATTAGAGAGATAAGAGATGTGCATTTTACATTAAAAACTTCTGCTCAGTGGGAAACAATATAAGCAGAGCATAAAACAGACAACAGAGAACCACTAACTCCAAAAACAGGCAATGCTCCGTCGGGTTTGCTGAGATAAAACAGAACTCAATAACCACACAACATCCATAAATAATAGACCACATGTCGTCTTCTACCACAGCAAACACTAGAAGCAGCCACCGTGCGACTGGTTAAACGCTGCTGTCCCTCGGAGCTCAAGCCAGCGCCGGGGCTGATCATCCGGCTTTCTTTACCTACAGTAAATGTTCTTGTGACTTTGGTTTTGTCAGCAGGACAACATTTGCTCCTGTCTCCTTTGCTGTAATTATCTAAGCAACACTCCTATGGGGTTCATGCTTCATCTCATTTGAATTAATCACAGGGGACAGCTTAGTGTCTTCCTTTCTTCCAGCCAAGTCCTTCCCTCTTGGAAGGACTCATTACAGAGCAAAACTTTGTTCCCTATTCCCAGAGAAAAAAATCATGTACCAGTGTAGAGCACAAAAAAAATAAAAAATCCCTGCTATAATGAGATGTCAACACTTTAAATTCTGTCATACAGCAGCTACAAAACCTGTAATTGCCTTGTCTTTATCCACTGCATTACAACAAATGCATAAGAACCAATGTAAGTTTGGGGGTATGTAATATTTTCATGGAGCTAATAATTTTCATGTCATTAAAGATAAAAGTAAGAAATAAAACTTAAACCAGGATCCACAGACAGGCTAGCTGCTCTGTGAGGATGTACTTTGACACAGCAGTGCTTTGACCTCAATGCTAGCATGGGCGACATGTTCTTAGGGCCAGTGTTAACATGCTGTAGTATAATTATCACCATTTTCACCCTCTTATGGTGTTAACATGCAAACATTTGCTAATTAGCACTGAACACAAAGTACAGTTGAGACGGATTTTGCTGATATTTGGTCACAAACGAGTGCGAACCTATTGTAACATCACCCACTGGTTGGATGGGTATCGAGGTCCCGCCCATACACCCCGGCTCAATCATGACGTGAAACCACCTTTTTATAGCTTCTTTAACACTTAAA